TGTGATATTTGCACATCATTGAAAGCGGTTTGTTCGTGCAGGAATGGAGAATTATCTCGCCATGGAGATCGATTTCGAGCTGCTGAAGCAGAGCGGGATTGGGATTGTTCAGACATGTGACCGTCGTGTGCAGCCTGTATTAAATCTGAAATGATATTGCGATGATAGGGTGAGAACATCTTCCCGCGTTGGTGGGAAGCTGGATTGGGTTGCTTTGATGTGGCGGTAGGGTTGGGATCGAATAGGGTGTCTTCGTAGATATCGGATACTGTTCTGTTCAGCTTGGGAACGCCAATCTGATTCTGGCTATCTTGCTCACTGAAATCTGCGGCTGCAATGGCATCAACACGTAAGTAATCATCCATCCATCCACCAACGCTGGGGTATTTGTCCTCACCATTGGACATAGACCTTGAACCATTATCATGATCGTCAGGGTATGTTGCATGTGAAGTAACAGGAGAGTTATGACTCTGTGTGGAAACAGAAGGCGGTAGAGATAATGAAAATGACTTATCGTCCTCCGCTGGCTGTTGTTGGTGCTGCTGCTGCTGCTGCTGCTGTTGTTGTTGTTGTTGACGTTGTTGATGATGACGTTGTTGCTGCTCCAAGATGGCCCTTCTCATTGCCAGATCCACCTCTGACCGTTCGCAACCACGAGACGACTGATCAATGGACTGGAGAAAGGCACTCTGGACAGGAGTATGGTCTGGAGTAGGGAGAGGCTTTGTAGAAGTAGACGACGAAGTCAACTGCTCTGGACAGTTGAAGCCTGAGGGAGGATATGACGACACGGAGGGATTGAGTGGCGACACAGTACCAGTTGCAGGAGCTGATAACTCCGAGGCAGCTCTATTATATTGATACTGGTTATAAAGCGCACGTTGACGTGGCCGTGATGGCGTCCTCTGAAGTCTCTGCTGCTGGTTATTGTTGCTGCTGCTGTTGCTGTTGCTGTTGCTGTTGCTGTTGGAATTGGTGCTACAGCAGAACTTGACAGGACCTAGAAAATTATTCCAACTATTGCTGTCAAGCGGAAGCCCACTCTGTAACAGCATGGACGAGTAGTTGTCCTGGTCATAGGACGAGTCCTCGAAGGGAGGCGTTGAGTTGTGTATTCTGATGGGCGGGGTGTGTGATGTTTGCGACAATCCGACTGGAGATGGGAAGGTGCTTTCTGGCATAGACACGACGCCGGGGTCTTGGTAGAAGGAGCAGAAGTCTGTGGGAGGAGAGTTCTGGGGTGAGAACGCGGCCGCAGAGCAAGCGGGAGAATGTACGGGAGACACAACAGCTGAGGAGCCGGGTGGCGGTGACTGGGAAGGAACGGGAGTGAGAGGAGTTGCGTAGTAGAATTGCGCGTGTTCAAGCTGCTGCAACTGCTGCTGAAGCTGCGCGTCCAGAGGGAGATCGCCGAGCAAGTGCTGCGAGGAAGAAAACTGAAGACGGTGGCGGAGAGGGTTGTATTGGTCAACTCTGTCGCCGTCGTCGTTATTCTGCAGGTTCCTAGAGTTTAGATGTGGTTGTTGAAAGAGGGGCGACTCAGACTGTGGATGTGGTGTTTGGTGTGGAGGAGTGGTTGGGGGATAGTGGGCGAGCATGTCGAAGAGAGTAAGGATGGGGCCCGCTTACGGTATATATATATATAAGATTATACATATAAACCGTAAACTGTAAACCCTATATGGGGGGGGTTATGCGGAAAATATGCGTATATATAACAGAATGTATGGAAATGGGGGTGGGTGACTGAGGAGTTGGATGGGCAATTTAGGGTTTTTCAAGTCTTGAAGAGTGGCGAAAACGACAAAACTCTCAAGACTTGGGATGGTATGAGGAAGAGAGGAACCGAAACAAACAATAGATAAGATGGAGTACAGGTGCAAGGTTAGGGGTTGATGGGAACAAGAGATTGCAAAAGAGATTAAACGGTTGTCCCTTTTCTTTCTATGGAGCTTGCTGTGTATGTATGTGGTGAATGTTGCTTGTATGTTTTTCTATATGTGGGTTGTTTTGTAGCTGTTCTCTGCTCTCTTGCGGCGGGGATGTTCTATTGTATTTGTACTGAGCCCTGTTCTGCCGGCTTGGCGTATTTTTCTCTGGTTTTGGCTCACTCGCGTACTGAGTATTTCGCGCTCGGTTTTTTTGCTTTTTGCACCGCCCAGGTACCAGGGTTGGCAGGTTTAGCTTTTCAAAAAAAAAAAAAAAAAAAAAAAAAAAAAAAAAAAAAAGGATAACTATCGGCCAAGATCTGGGTCTAACCAAGTTCGGATCCTTGTCGGCTAGAGGCTCCGCTTTGGGTTTTTGCGTTTCTTTCTTCGAACCTTTTTTTTTTAAAAAAAACTAGCTTGTTCTTGTTTGGGGACGGAGGGTTGCAATTAGCGCGGTATTTTGTCTCAGTCATTCCGATCCGCATAAAAGCAATGCACTCTGTACTACTTTTCTTCGCTCTCCGACGTCGAACGTCCAACGGGAGGTTGTTGGGTTCGGCGAGGAAATTGGAGAAGACGAATGTGATAGTGAATAATAAATGACTATATGGAACAGCTATGACGATGGCTGTGTTGCGTGCGTAGGATACTTCGGGCTTCGAGAATCAGGTTTGGCCGACGGGAGAATCGGTGATATCAGCAGCAGGGGAGAAAGAATATGTGGTGACTAATCAATACGATTAGAGAGTCAGGTGGAATAAAAATGAAGCTATATCAGGAAATCTGATTAAAATGCCTGCTTTATTTGTATAATCAATTGATCATTAGGGGGAAGGTTGGAGAAGATATGATTAAAACTGAGACAAGAATCACCCTCTAAGAACGAGATGGTGGCCTTGAGCCTATAAATCAGACAACAGTCTAACTACCAAACTCTCCCAATCCGTTCTCTCATCATCATCATCATAATCATCATCATCATACATACATACCCTAGGAAGAGTTTGGTAGCATCATTGCAGCCCATCAACCGGAACCCACCAAAAAATGGGAAAAACAGGAATAACATGATGATCAGAAACAACACTGGGGCACACATGACATCTGGCAAGCTGTCGTGTCTACAAGAACCCCGACTCCTGCTGCCTCTCTTCACCCCCGAACCTTAGATCAGTACACGTCAAGTAATGTCATACCAATGTTATGTTGACCAAATCCAAATTTGGGCTGGCCCTTTCATCTGCTCTGACCACTCCAGCATCTCCCCCTCCGAGAAGGATCCAGAATGCCCCAGTTGTTAGTAGTACCTAACTAGTCTCCTGTTACTAACCATTGCAGCTGAGCAATTATTGATAATTATAACAAAGTGACCTTTGTGCACAACTTCAACCGGGCATTTCAAAGCCATGATGCTATTAATTACCTATTTTCTTAATCCCAACATTTAGCGCCCTGGCGTATCTAATTTTTCCTCACGTTTTCTCTCGTAGAAATCTCGTCGTATTATTTTCGGCATTCCGATACAAACTTCTTAAAGTTCTTGGCGTTTTTCTGTTGTGTCATTCCCCTATGACGTCGCACTCATGGGGTGTGTGTCACACCACTGGCATCCTGGAGATGATTGCAAATTTCCATGATTCCATGTTACAGCTAAGTGTACGGAGTACATGTAATGTACACAAATAATAAATATGCACGCTAATGCCCGACGCTTGCATGTCCATGCGACTCCAGGGATCCTACGTCGGCCTAGGATAACGCTCCAACGCCTGTGCAGTTTTAGCGCTCCCGCGCTACAAAAATATCGGGCCCGGGAGTGAAAATCTTTTCCTTTCCGCGGTCATTCGAGTCCGAACGTTGGGCATGTACTCCGAGCGCATATGTAAATACTCACTTCAATTCAATCAATGCCTATTCATGTTGATCAGCGGGATTTCGCCGAACGAAAGTGTTAATATTTCAGTTTTAGGTTCTTCCTCCCATAACAGTTATTGCTAAAATCAACCAGTGATCAAAGTCGAGTGAGGTATACTCCGTACTAAACCCGGGAGAGAGTCGACATCAGCCGAATGATTCCGGAAAAGCCACGAATTGAGTCAATAATACCCCGAGGGAAATAATAGCTCCTTTCCTATTTCTCATCAATCTTCGGGAACTTTCTTCTCACCTACCGAAATTCAATCACCCACTTATTCTACTCTACGAAAACAAAAGCACATGAAAATTCTCAAGAATGATGGTGACTAGTAAAACATTCTACCTAGGTACATATTTCAACGAGCTGAACTACTACCAACCTACATACAACGTAGCGATGACACTTGCCCGTCATCTTGCATTGTCCAACCCCAACAGAGTGCCGACCTTTATCCTATGCATCTGAACACATGGACCGCATGCCTGAATGCTGCATTACAGGCCGGTTGCAACACTCTAGGCATGTGGGTAATAATGATATCCGTCTTTGAAGATACTCCGATAAACTAGGAAAAAAAAAGAAAGAAAGAAAGAAAGAAAAAGAAAACAACTCTATGCACGACAAACTGCCCCGCAACAAACAATTTTGACCGATGAGATCAAAATGAGATCAAATGCCAGCACATCAAAAAACAAAATACATCGCCAAGCTAGGCGACCAATAAAATCCTGCAGAAATATCAGGCTTCTTCCACAACAATCCCAACCGTCCATCTTTCAGCCACACCCTCCCCTGCAGGTACCCCGTCTCACTACCAAATTGACAAATAGCACTGTTTCACACGCGATGACACTTGACCACTTTCACCACATCATCCCAACCTTCTACATGTGATGGGCGCTAGCTATGGAGCATTGGCACGGAATGCATCAGCCACCCTGTTCGGCGAACCCGGAATATTCAAAACGGATTTACTAGCGTCCCGCACAGCCACTTCTTCGAAATCATTTATCCAGAGAAAATATTTCGGCCGAGAAAAATACGCCAGCCAATGAAGGGAGAATAATAAATTTCTTCTTTGTCATTGGCTAGTTTTCCAATATTTTTTTTTATTAAAAAAAATATTAAATAAATTCTTTTGAAAAACCGTGGGATTTTCTAGGTTGAGACCGACTGTACCACAGTTCCAGTGCTTCATCTCAGGATTTCAGGTACTGTTTATCCACGAATTTACTCCTGCCTCTACCATGAACACGTATCGTTTGGCTTCTTGCTCGATTTTCACTGCTTAGTTCCTAGGAAAATGTATTGCCTAGATCAAATCACTGGACTTGCATCTCAGCAGAAAACAGAATGTAAAATACCATCAACTGGCTGCAAACAGCAAATTCCTAACCGAAACATATACGCATGTGAACAGGTTACTGGCATTTCTAGATATCTTATACGGAACTAGCGGGTTCCTTGTATAGCCGCTGTATTCAGTAACTTTCATGTACTCAATATCAGAACAATAACGTACTTCACCATATATATACACTATTTACCGACTAACTTCAAACTTGACATCATGCCATGCATAAATGAATAAATCCATCGATGGACAATTAATGCAATAACAATATCAACACCTAATCTCTACTTCGGAAAATAAAACTTAAATGTATCCATGGACGCTGCATAGGCATCAATACCCGGATCAGTGGAACGGCCATACCTAGCTAGCCACGGTATGAACATCACGTCCCCTTCATGCTTTCAGACCGATGGAGTCAAAATCTGATACCAGGCTACCATTATTATTTTCCTGCTTGACTTCCTGTTGATGAAAAATGCGACAATTTTCGACAAATTTCACCATTAGGTTTTAGGCACAACATCCTACTAAAATATCCTACCTCGGTAGGCATGCACTGCACACACAGCTAACTTTATCCTAGGGTTCCCCCGTTTCGTGTGCTGCGACAAGCAGTCAGCTCGAAATTTTTTTCCCCTTCAAGGTTATTTTGTTTCTCTTGAACCGCTCTTTTCTACCTCCTCATGAATCATATATGGGTTATTGCTTCATAATGTGTCTTGAGTAATGCGGAAATGACTCGAAAAACTTAGGAGCAATTGCTGGTGAGTAAAGTACTGGATACTAGCTGGGTAGCTCGTTAGGTATAAATTCTGCAAGTAACTAGTAACTAATATTATTAATATTAGTAATAGCTCAATTTTTTCTTTTTTCTTTTTTTTTTTTACTAGTTGGTTTATTTAGTTTATTAGATTTATACAATAATTTAGATATATAGTTAGTTATATTTGTTAGAATTTATAATACTCAAAAATAAAATAATAATTTAAGTAATTTAAATATTTGGTAAAATGTGAAGTAAGAATATATTATATATATGAAAAGAATCTATGAATGATTCTTTAAATATAGTTAATCCTTTTATTATACCTAATATAATATAAAGTATATAAAGTTATGTCACTTTATTTTTATAAAAATTGTTAAAAAAATTAACTTAGTAGGGACATTTAAACATCTTAATTTTTATATTGAACAATATAAACATCCTTTTAATGTGCAATAAGTTTGATTTATGTTTTGATTAAATAAATGATTTTTTTAATTATTTATTTGTTTACCTTTAATTTTTCGTATGTTCTCCGGCGATTGAGCACCTTGGATATTGGTCCACAAACCAGACCGTAACTTATAATTCTGTCCACGTGAAACTAATGTCACAGGGCGGGCTCGTTT